CGAAAACGGAGTTTGTATGCGAAAGTTATGAATTTTTGAAGTTCGGGGCGCGAAACCCCAAAACTGTCAGAGACCACGACGTGGAAACAGTGCCCACGATGTGGCATGGCTTCTGACACCTTCTAGAGCCTGACAGAGCAAGTGGACGACGACGCATGCAGTGACGACCAAGTCCACGACGTGGAAAATGAGAAATTTGCCCTATAAATAGATTTGAAGGGGTAGTCGGCCAAGGTTGCTGATTCACCCTTCTCTCACCCATACTACCTCAATTTACATGCAAAGAAGTACCCCTGAAGCCCCAGTATCATCCCGAGACCCGAAGCAAGTCCCGAAGCCCGAAGATCCCGAGAAGAAAAGAGTTTCCGAGCCGAAGCTCTGCCCGCGAGAAGCCCGGTGTGCGAAGTGATCCCGGTTTCACTAAAGAATACTACTTTGAAAGCCATAGTGTTGTCCGATCATCTTCTGATCAAGTGAGTGTGTAGTTACTTTCTTCTAACGCATAATTATAAAATATTTTATATGAAATACGTGTTATGTGTATATTTTGTTGGTATATGTGTGAATGTATATTCACTTTCTTCTATCTCATAGATATGATTTGTTCTATATCAAATACGTGTTATGTATATGTGTCTCATCTGTTGTTTGGAATATGTATTGAATGAGAATGTTATACAGGTTTTAAACTATGTATAAATTTTTTTTTTATCTACTAATATGTTGGGTAGAACATGGGTAGATAGTTGATGTGTGATAAACAGGTGAGAGGCCTCGATGTTGTTGTTGACCTAGTCATCTAGCGGAGTATGGATGATAACCATAGACTCTTTCTAGACAGTCCTGTGGAACACTAGTAGGTTCATAACCTATAGGTGTTGTGAACGATGTGTTCACCGGTGTACTCTATCCCCCTCATGGTTGCCTGTAGGACATCTATTATTGAGGAAACCCCTTTGTAGTAATGTCCGTCCCAATGAAAATCCTAGATTAGGTCCCTGGTAATAGATGTTGTCTTAGGGACGTAAAGTGAGGATAACAGGAATGGGTAATCGGGTTATTGTTGGTTGGTGAAATTAAATATAATTATTTATTGTGGGTTGAAGACCCTATATGCTCACCAGGATCCCAAGCCTGACCCACTCAGTTTTGTTGTATTACACGTAGTGGCGCGAGAGCATAAGTTGGATGACTTATCAAGATCTTTTGATATTAGACCAATTGTTATATGTAACTGTTGTATGGTCTATCTTTTGTTGTTTATGCTTTTGGTCTGTTTATCGGAACATGACATCCCGAACATTGTTATATAATGAAAATGCATCTCTTGATGAAATGCTTTGATAAACTTTATTTTATCATATTTTGTTTTGGGAACAAATTCCGCAACTCTTTTAAATCAAAAGGATTTACTCTGAAATTATTTTAAAAGCATAAATGAAACCGGTCTTTTCTGGCCATGATTTTGGGGATGTCACAGTTCGACGCGTGCATGTATTATATGATGATATGTTTACCGGGTAAGGCCCGAAGCCAGGCGAGGCCTGAGGAGGTTATCATATGTTAATTATCATTATGTGTCTCATGATTACCGGGCAAGGCCCGATGTCGGGCTGGGCTCGATGATTGTATGGAATGCTATAGTCTTTGTGATTATTGCATGTGTTAGTAGGTTGTATGATTATATGACTATATGGGTATATAATTATGTGAGTATCGGGCGAGGCCCAATGTCAGGCGGAGCCTGGAGAATGACAGATTTGTAATCCGAGCGGGGCTCGATGTCGGGCGAGGCCCGATTGAGGGCGGGGACCCAGTATGTGATTTATGTATGTATGGTATGTGGTATCTTGGGGAACTCACTAAGATTTCTACTTATGGTTTTCAGTTTATGTTTCAGGTACTTCGGTTTTCAAAAAGGAAGGGCTTGGGTTGATTGCATGGCACACACATTTTATGTTCCACATTTGACTTTGTTATAGGATTTTGTACTTTGATTGTAATGTATCGATTTTGAAACAATAAATCGATGATACTTATTATATAATTAAAATGAAATTTTATGTCAATATTTTTGAGATGTTACAGTTGATGAAGAGTATAATCTGGATCCAAAAGCTATGGACTCCCAAGCATACCCTTAAGGCCTCCTTCTTCACCAAAAACACAAAAAGGGTCACTCAAATGCTTCAAATATCACACCAAAGGGCTAGGGTTTCGAGATTAATGAAAGAAATGGTGGAGACTGAGTATGGAGAGGGTCTTAAAGAGTTAAGGTCCTTAAATAGGGGTCACAACCCTACAATTAGGGTTTGAACCAAGTGCACTTACGCTATACGTAAACATGTCTACGCCCCACGTAAGGCATTAAACCCTCGCAAGGACTTGTTGACCTACGTCATGCGTAGGTGACTGCCTACGCCCCTCGTAGGACCAATTTTTCCAAAATAAAATTAAGGCTTTAATAACAATATGAGAAAAGTACATGAGGAAACGGGTGTTATACGTTGTGCTTTTTATCTTAAATTTGACACGATGTTTTCCAGTTTGTTACAATTCTGACCATTTGACCCGGTCAACTTGGTTGCTTGCAGACGTGGCATGATAATGTGTTAGTTTTTTTATGACGTGACATGATGGCATGACATACTGATGTGTTAAAATTGTTTTTTTTCCACAAAAGGCATTAAGTATTCACTTTTTTCAGTTTTGACACTAAGTTTTAATTTTTTTTTTCTCATTTTTGACACTATATTCTTTTGTTCAAATCGATTATCATTTTTTTTCCAATTTTGTTCAAAGTTGATTATTTTCCATTTGAAACCATATAAATATTTTTTATTACATTTTAAACCATATGACTATAAATACATTTTTTTCATTTAAAAACCACATTTTGTATAAATACAAGGCTCTTTTAAATTCAAACCATAATGTAGAATTTACATGAATTTTTATTTACAAATAAATAATTATATTAGGTATATAGTGATGTTGGATCTAACGTTCGCTTGAAGCATTGAAAAAGAGATTGGGAAATATATAACAAAATATCAAAATTCAATGAAAATACTTAAATATATGTAATAATTGTGATATTTATCATTCATAAATACTTTTGAAAAATTGAGCTAAAAAATATGATTTTCAGTATTGTTAATAGACATAGTGATTACATACCTCCAAAATAATTAAATTGTCATTCAATAATTAAATGACCATTCAAGATTAAGTCATGATACCATTCGGGAGTTACACTATGAGATTCAAGATGTTCCTAATAATATTATGAATCTGATATGAGATGTAAAAATTTTACGGGTTGCAAACCTGGCCTCTAGGTCTTGAACGAATACATGCCTCCAAACATTCAAACTCATTTTAAAGTTGTATATTTAATGCAAAATACAATTTTTATATAACTAATACATATTTATTAAAAGAACATTGTATTTATACAAAAATATGGTTTTTAAATGAAATAAATGTTTTTATACGGTTTAAAGTAATAAAAGATTTATATGGTTTCAAATGAAAAATGATCAACATTGAAAAAAAAAAAAAAAAAAAAAAAAAAAAAAAAAAAAAAAAAAATACTTAATATTAAAACTGAAAAAAGTGAAAACTTAGTATCTTTTGTGGAAAAAAAAAATCAATTTTAACATGTCAGTATGTCATACCATCAAAAGCGACACATCATCATGTCACGTCAGCAAGCAATCGGTTTGACCGGTTAAATTGTCAAAATTGTAACAAATTGGGAAACACAATGTCAAATTTGAGAAAAAAAAAACATAATGTCAAAGTAGAATTTAGATGTAAACTTAATAACTTTTGTGTTATTTTTTTCTTTCTTATATTGATATGTTTATAGTATACATGGATTGCCTTAGGTAGTCAAAGATCCTCCATAGGATCTCCCCAACCAGAATGAGGGAACAACGCCTTAATTGGGCCTAACAATATTATGCTTCCAATCTAGTATGCTTCAACCTTGTGGTGATCTACTGCTCCATAAAACAAATTATCTATAGTTCGACTGCAAACCACAAACGTACCACAATTATCCGGATCCAATGAATCGTATAAATGCTTTGTGTTTTATCCCTGCCTTGTTGTAGTTGTGAGTTGATAGTAGGGGTAAGCAAAAACCGCACCGCAACTAAAATTAACCGTAAAAACCACATAAATCACAATCGATAAACTGCAACCGCAATAAAAACCGATGGTGAGGTTTTCTGTTTTTCAAAAACCGCAAATTTGCGGTGCGGTGTGTTTATTAGTTTTCAAAAACCGCAAAAAAACCGCACCGCACCGCATATATTACATACAATTTTTTTTATTAATTGTTATTATATTAAATATTAAAAATAAGACAAGTTTCATGGATGAAAGATAGATAAAATACTAGAAGACAAAAGTATTGATTTTTTGTTATGTTTAACTTTGAAAAATGGTGAAATTAAATAATTTTAAGATATTTATTGTTAATTACTATTGATTTGATATTTTTAAGATATTAATTGTTTGTGATTTAAGTTAATTGTCTTATACCTTATGGTTTTTTATCATTAAAAGTAATATGTTTGAACTCTTAAAACCGTTTGAGCTTTAAACTATGGTTAAAAACTACACAAAAAAATAAAGGGTAAATGTCATTATAGCCCAAAAAGCTTACGTGTTTTGGTTTAAAAGGTCCTTCATCTTATTTTTTTTGCTTTCTAAGGGCATCAACTTGTGTTTTACCTGCTAATTTGGGTAAAGAACCCATTATAACCTGTTAGATCTACCAAATAGGTTAGAAAATGATGACATGTAACCTCATCAGCAAAACTTGGAGCCTAGTAGACTTTTGCCTCGTAAGAAACTTTGGGGATTTATATAAGCACTACTCTGACACTTTTTCTTACCTAAAAAAAAGATTTCAGATTTTTTCTTCTATCCTTTTCAACATTGGGAAATGGGAAAAGCTTAATTCCATGAACAATGGTGGCCTCTAATCACCACACCGTGTCCCGGTTTTGAAGCTTCTCGATTTCCGAAGGAACTTCATCGGAGAGACCACAGTTGGCAGCATCGAGGTGAATGAGGCTTGATAAATTACCAATTTCTAGAGGAATACCACCGGTGTAACCATTGTAGTGTCCAAGGTAGAGTTGTTGGAGGTTTGTTAAGTTTCCTATTTCGGGAGGAAAAAGCCTGTGAGCTCGTCCGTAGGTGACACCGAACCAAGTAATAATGGCTGGTAGAAAGGTCCCAAGTGGAAATGGAGGACTGAGGGTCGTCGAAGATGGCGGATTTGAGGGAAATTAGTGCTTGGTATTCCGGTAATCAACCTGATTTTGGCAGCGAATGAGTTGGGAATGCACTGTAACAACAGTAGGAGGAAGAAGAACCTCATCTTGTGGTCAATTTCTCTCACACACACTGGTTATTTTAGAGGAAGAAATGAGGAAGAAGACGAAAAAAGGAGGAGAAGAAGAAGGGTGGGTGGGTGAAGAATTAAGGAAGGAGTGTGAGTATGTCTCCAGCAGTGGCGGTGGTTGAATTCCTGATTTGGTTAGGGATTGACTCAACCGACTTATTAAATTAAAACACTAAACAGTAATCAGGTGGAGTGTTGGTAGTATGATTAAAAGGAACGATGAACTTGGAGCGGGATTGAAGTTCAGTAGCAACTTGGGGGTCGACGGATACAGCCTGCTGAGGTGTGCCAAGGAGTGCGAGTATGTCTCCAGCGGCGGTGGTGGTCGCTGAGGGTTTCTTGGAGTTGACTTTCAGAACTGAGATGGAATGATAACGGGGATTGGGGGTTGGAAGAGAGTAAGACGAAGAAGAAGCAGTGACAGAGAAAGAGATGATAAATACGATTTTGAGGGGAAGTGATGATAATGGTGATGGATTCCATATGGTTGTTCTCCCCCAAATCCATGTTCTCATGTTCATCTCATTTAACGATACATTAGGTGGCATCCGATTTGGCAAATGAGTTGACTTTTTTTACTGACGTGTACAAGATAATCAGCTGATTGGGAAAGGGGTGACCGGGTGACCCCTTCACTTTCTAGAAAATGACCTTAAAAGCCGGTAAAATGAGAATTCATGCCCTTACAAAGCCAAAAAATAACAATAAGGACCTTTTAAACCAAAATGGAAAAGTTTGTGGGACTACAGTGACATTTCCCCAAAAATAAACCCCACCGCAAAAATAATTGCCTAACCGCATTGCAAAAATAACCGCACCAAGCGATTTTGAAAATGGATTAACCGCATTTGCAGTTAGTGGTGAGGTTTTGGCTAATAACCGCATCGAACCACACCACGCTCACCTCTAGTTGATAGTTTGGTACCCTAACACTCTTTTTCCTCAATATAGGTCAACCTTTTCGACTTACTAATTTTTTGACTTATATCCTATGGTTAACTAAGTAATTATAATGATCAACATTTACCCAAATATTCCATCATAAATTGTTTTCCAATTGTGTAACAACCAAATACTAGATACATATCAATCTTTACTCTTGTTAGAAATCACATACTTTAAACAAATTCTAATAAAATTTTATATAATATCACCAATATGACACAACGATTTAGATCAAAAAGAAAAAGAAAAAAGAACCATATAAAATATATTGTATAGGAATATTATAAAGTAATAATAAATATATTGAAGAATCAAAAAAGCCTATTCTCATTGCTTTGAACTCCATGTGTGACTGGTGCTTGAGCTTTCACTTTTCTAAAGTACCACACCCCTGCCCCTATTCCAATTGCTCCGGCCACCGAAACTGCCGTTGCAGTCCCTACAAAATCAAATGCTTATTTAACAACACCCACCGTCATCTTTATATACTAATGACACGATAATCAATGAATAAGGTATTAACTATTAAGTTCAACTCAATAACACACAAAAGAAAGTAGAATACACAAATTTCTCACCAGCAACTACTCGATTACTCTTCCCATGTTGAGAATGATCTACAAAACATAAACCCGTAAGTTGATTCCTTTAACAATAGTAAAGTTAAGTTGTCACAACAAATAACCATCTTTAAACGTACCTTTGCAATAAGTAGTAACATTTCCATGATCACATAAGCACGAAAAATCATGTGTTCCAACATCAAACCCACACGTACCACCTCCTTTAATCCCATCCTGACATTGCAAACACCGAGTAGTAACAGGAATATCAAAGTCGATCCTAATCCCATACTCCGGGGGTGTGTTATACGTTTGTGACTCTCCTAAATTCCTCCAATACACACTAGTATAAGTCTCGCAATACTTCAACATCAATCTTAACGACTCAGTGGCTTTTGGATAATACGAACAACACGAAGTGCTAGCACCTAATGCATGTGTGCACTCAGGTAAGTGTCTACACAAATAGCTAGCACTATCACACGTCGAGTCGCATCTATCAGGGAACCTTTCACAAACAACCGGTTTAGGCTCCACGATCACGTCCTTTTCGCTACAGTTGAAGAAAAGATAGTCGTTTTGTGGGGAAAGTGAGAAGTGGATGCTTGTGTCGAGGCTAAAGGGTCGAGGGGGTCTGAAATGGGTAGCGTCTTGGCAGTTCCACATGGAAGGATCTGTAACGAGGATGTGGGGATCTGAATAATCGATTCTACGAACTGGGTATTTTCCTGATGGGGTTCTGAGTTCGAGGTGGTTGGATTCGGAGCATACGAGGATGTTTCTGTAATATGGGCTGCCACAGCCGTCATCTATGCCGAAAGGGTAGTTGATTTGTGTGTCGCCACAGGAGGTCCTGCAGAGATTTGATTGGGATTTTACAAGGGTGCAAAGTGTAAAGATTAAAAAATGTAGGGTAATGAGAAAAGAGGCCATTGGAGAGAGTTTTAAGGAAGGCGAAGAAGAAGGAAGAAATATGATAGGCAAAAAGAAGAGTACGTTGGTGAGGATTTAGGAAGAGACAATCAAGTTGAAGGGTATTTTTGTGATTTTAATCAACTTTTTCTTTTGTCTTTTCCTTTTTCGGTACTTCATTTAGTGCTTTTCCTCTTCTTTGTTTTCCTTTTAGAGTAAGATTATAGTGATTTTTAAGTTAGAAGGGATTTGTTTGTATGGAAAATCATAGAGTAAATAATATAATAATACTTAGGTTATGTTTGGCGTACTAGCTGAAAAGCTAGCTGTTAATTGAAACGTTAGTTGATAACTGAAAAGCTAGCTGATAAAAAATAACGTTTGATAAACTAACTGAAATATATAAAATTACATAAAATGACATATAAAAGTATGTGTTTTTATAATTAATTAAGATGTGTATTTAGAAAATTTTTAAAAAGCTCTTAAAAAACTAGTCTAAGTAGCTTTTTAGAAAGCTAGCTTATAAGTTACTTTTTTGTTTACCAAACACGACAACATAAAAAAGCTCGAAAAATAAGCTAGCAACATGTTACTTCCATTTCCCTTTTGTTCGTAGTATGGTAGGAGCAACTCCAAAAATGGTATTACATATGATGGATGTAAAGGGAGTAACAGTATCTCACATCTAGATCGTGTTTGAATTCTAATTAAGTATTCTTTTTTTATATTCTATAAAATGTTGTATTTTGATAAACAGATGTGTTGGAGAAAAATCCTAAATATAGTAATATACTTGAACCAATCTATTATATGCATTATTTCATTATTATTTTTTTTTTTGTTTTTTTTCCAAAAGTTGATTTTGTTTTTCATCATATGTGTATATGACGATATCAATACGCGTTACATGTTTTCACTTTTTCCATTCTTGGAATTTGGTTTTTGAATGTCAAACTTCACAATTTATAGATTTAAAGCCACCCCAGTATATGATCAAAATTTTGAGGTCATATAATTGGTTATATATAATTTATAGACTAATCCAAACAAACTTATTTACATGCTTATATTATCGGAGCCCTGATAAGAAATTGTAGCCATAGTAAATGGTTTTTGCAAAAGATTTCACAATAATATTCTTTAACAAAATGCAAAACAAACATTACATTTTGTAATATGACTAATATTGAAATAAAAACATGTGAGATAGAGATTATTTTTACGTTTGCACATCATGTCTAAAGTCAACAATTATTGTAAGATACAATGCTATTTATTATGTATTTCAAAGAAAAAAAAAAGACAAAAAACACTATGCAAAATATAATGTTCACAAAATATATCACCCTTTCTTTAAATCAAGTATAAATGAAGTGCTAGCCAGAAACAGTTTTTCGTTTTTACACATCGTTTACTTCGAACAAATATTTTTAAAAGCCTTAACCTTAATCGCCATGCTATACCCGTGGCCATTGTGGACTAACAACCTACACAAAAACCAACACACTTGTAAGCTTTTCTCAAAAAAAAAAAATCAATTTGTCCTAACGAAAAATTGCAAATTTTGTCTCATTAATTAATATCAGTGTCTAATACAAGCCAAAAACAGTACAACCTGTTACAGTAACACTGACCTCGAGTGTGCTAAAAATTAGTCTCATTCGGCTAGCAACAACCGATGGCTCTTCCGCACGCCCCACCACCGCCATTTGCTCTAGTTGAAGTGTTTTCACCGGAAGCCTTACCCAAAAAAAAAGTTAGGTTTTATTGATTTTAAAATAAATTTGATATAAAAGAATGTTTTTATTTTATTTTTTTACCATGCCATTCCTCTTAAATAGTAGGCGTTGGCTATGATGGCACAAAATCCTTTCCATTGAAGCTTGATTTCATCTGAGACAGGTGGCGTTGGAGACCACCGAACTACGGTGGGTTGTGGTGTACACAATATGGTTATGAAGATGATACTCAACCACAATATACACTCGTTCACCTGTATCATGAAATATAAATGAGAAGGGTATATTTGGAAATTCCTTTTTTCTTTCAAAAAAATTACCTCTTGGTAACAAATCTTGGATTTAAGACTGGTGGCCCCACCATAAGTTTGCATTTCATGGATCTCAATACCGGATTCTTTGATATTTGTGAGTTCTTTTCGTAACCCTTCATCAGTGCACCCCAAAGCATATGCGTTTACCCCAGCACTAATGAATTCCTGATTGGATGATTTCAAAAATTTTAATAATAAAATTGTTTTCTTCACACTTTAAAAAAAAAAAAAAAGATTAATTAAGAGAGTTTACTTTTAGATTGTCAGCTCCTCCTCTGTCTATGAAGTTGCGGTATCTTTTAAACAAGCTTATTGCTATGTTGCGTGATGATCGATACTCTTCATCGTCTGATGAAATCGCGTCTTGTTGTTGGCACTAAATTATTCAAGAAAACAGACGTAATTGGGACAAGTGTTGTATGATTAATGACTTTCTTTTTTTTTGAACAAAATGAATTATTTTACCTTTATGTCTACAAATGATGTGGAATAAAAAATGACTAATTCTATGTGACATGACGAATTTTGACATTTAAGATACTTAAATTAGAACTTTTTAATATATACAAGGGAAATCTCCGATAACCTCCCAATATTTTGGATCGGTTTATGGTTTAATTCTAACATTAACTTTTTGAAAAGAAGAGTCTCAATTATCTAATTTTATATGATAATCTGTCATTTTCTGTTGAAAAAAAAAATAATAATAAGAACTGTTTCGTTAATTTGGGCAAAATATAAAATAATCAGGACTTTTCTGTCGAAAAAATAAAAGTTGAGATTAAACCGTAAACTGACTCAAAATATTGGGATATTATTAGAGTACATATACAACTAATAGAAAAAGGCTCTTAACCCATAAAAGCCCTTAAATTTGGTAGAAATGTTCGGTTTTACCCTTTTGCGTATTCCTAGTTCATTAAAGCTAGAAGTTTGCAACTTTTTTATTTCAATTTTACCCTTTTGAGTATTTTTGGTTCATTAAAGCCCTTACGTTTGCAGAAATGTTCAGTTTTACCCTATTACATATTTCTGATTCATTAAAGTCCTTAAGTTTGGCAGAAATGTTCTG